CTCCCCCACAACCCCCCCCCCAACCCAAACCAAAAAACCCTCCAACCCAATAGCATGCTGGGTTGTATTAACAGGAGTATCACTTGGAAAACAAGGGAAGTGAGTTTTCTGCTTTGTTCAGCATGGGTGCAGCCTCACTGTGTCTAGTTTGTGGCCCTACCCTTCAAGAAGATGTGAATAGCTTGGAAAGTCTAGCAGAGGCTGACAAAAATTATTACTGGTCTGGGAAGCATGATTTATGAGGAAAGGCTGAACGAACTAGGTTATTTAGTCTGGAGAACAGAAGACTAAGGGTGCATATGTTGACAGTTTGATGTACCTGAAAGTACTTTTCTCTGCAGCTGTGAGACTAGGAGCAATAACCTCAAGCTTCAGTAGCGGAAATTGAGGTTGGAGATTAGGAGGACCCTCCTGACTATGAGGGTGATCAGGCACTGGAACAGACTACCTAGAGCAGTTACGGACTCACCATCTCTGGAAATTTTCAGGAAGGGTAAGAGAGACATGGCTGGGACTGATCCTGCCTTGAGCAGAGGTTGGACTAGGTAACTTTAAGAGATCCCTTCCAGCTCTACTTTCCTATGATCCTAGTAAATTAAACAAATGAAAAATTCAGTAGTATAACAAGACATTTGTCAGTAGAACTATTTTGGCATTATTAGAAATAAAAGGAAATAGGAAAATCTTGACTACTCATGTGAATAAGTGAAATAAGATCAGTATTGCAAAGAAAATGGGGTAGGAAAGAAGAAAGAAAAAAAACATGAAAAAGTGAAAGAAACAAATGAAAATTCATATCCTCCTTGTTGTCATCAAACCATGCCCTCCCCCCCAGTCTGTGGAAAAGTTGGTGGTTTCTTTATGTTCAGAAATTCCTTTGTAAAGGAAAAAAGTTGCACAATCGGGTCGCACAATCCTTCCCTTGTGTTTCTGTGAGATTACAGAAAACTTTTTGGTAATTTACAAGCATTTCTCCAGCCAGCTTAGATAACCACATTTGTTACATGTTAAAAGTCCATTGTAGATTTCTCTGTTAATTTAAAGGATGGTATGAAAAATACATAATTTCTCTATTCCTGTGCTGTAATCTTACCAAAAATAGAGCAGTTTCAAGTTCTCTCTAAATTATGGGCTTACGTAATGAAAGCTATATGCAGTCTGCAGAACATTCAGATGACTTGATCTGAAGTTATATGATAAAAGAATATATTTAAAAGTACTAATATTTTACTTCCCATTTTTCAGACAACTGAAACATGAATTCTCCAGTGCTGTGATTCTTAGCACTGATGACTTTTTCATCGAAGATGGCGTCTACCAGTTTGATCACAGATTGCTAGAGGAAGCACATACATGGAACCAAAAGAGAGGTGAATCAAAACAGTTCCTAGTTTTCTTAGAGCATTAATGGACTTCCTCAGTCTATCTAAATACCTGCACAGTCCTCAAAAAACCACAGTGTCTCAGCACAGTATACTGCACTATTTTGATTCTCTAGGAAGAGAGAAAATGTAATCATGTCTTTTGTTGAAGTTTACAGCTTGTCAGTCTTCTAAAAAAAATCACAGAACTTAGAGCGATTGACCATGGGAAGCAAAATATTCTTTATGGCATGTGAAAAATAAATTATGCTAACTGAAAAATACTGATAACTTCATGGTTCATTTTGTTTTTGAAAACTTTTTAAACAGTAAATGTTTATAGAAGTGCAGAAGCTGGACCTGAGCAAGAGGCATGCAAATGGCAGTACAGTGACAGCATGGTAGAGCCGTGTTCGTCCTTCTTTAGATTATAACAGGTTAAACATAAGCCATTGCTTTAAGCTTGAATTTCCATTTGTGACTTCTGTAGTATATGTGTCTGTTGTCAGGAAGTATACACATTAATTATGAAGTCATTCCTTAAGTTCAGGAGCAGAACAAACCATGACCATATTTTAGGGAGATGACTCTGATACAGCCTCATGAGGCAATTGAAACTTGTGAACTTATGTAATGGAATATTATTAAATACCAAATTATATTTGCTAACACTCACGTATCCTTTGTGAATATCTTCATTTCCACTGCCATTGCTCACATTAAGTTGAGGAGTGTTCAAAATACGCATCAACCTTTACATTCTTTTTGCTTAAGTTTTACAGTTGAGCAGGTACATTGGCTGCTGAACATCCTCCAGGAATTTTAAAAGCACTTTTTGGTTACTATCAACTATTTGCTTTGAGCTGGGTATGCAGAAACCCTTTACCAGTGGGTTCACAGACTGCGCAAGGGTCTCTTGAAATAGAAAACTCCTTCAGGCCTGAAAGGCCTGGATCCATCAGTTGTCTGGTACTTTTGAGCTTCACTTAATATGTTATATTGCAGCACGCAAAGCAATGGAGAATGGGAGATCCCCGGTTATTATTGATAATACGAACATCCGTGCTTGGGAAATGAAGCCATATGTGATCATGGTAGGGAAAATTATGACCTACTCTTGTTGTAAATGCTTAGCTATGACATCTAAGATGTGATCTGATTGGGAAAAAATATTAAAAGATAAAAGCAATTATTCCTATTTTTGGTCTTCAGGTAATTCAGACAAGTTAATTCTTTGCTAAAGTAAATAAAGAGGCACTTGTGTACTTGTTTTAGCTAAGTATTTAGTTCAGTGAGAAGAAAGTCACTGGAAAAGATTCAACTTGCCCCATATTCACCAGAGATCAGCCTATAGTGTCCCACTTCCCCAAGAGGAGTCTGCTTCCATAATGTTAATTGACAAGCATATTAAAACCTGAGTTTGGCCTTAGCTCATTTTTTGCAGTATATGTCAAGGGTACACATAAATCTAGAGACTGTGTTTTGATCAGTTTTTAATGGTTCTAGGATAGATGGACTCTGTGATTGCTTTATTGGCACTCTTCCTATTATGGTTTCACAGTGTGTCCCATTACAATCATGCTTATACATAGCTATATTACCATGGGTTATCATATGGTCAAAGTTTATCATTTGGGATCTATTTGGTGTTTCCACACAAGTTATAGGAGGTCATAGTGGTTCTCTGTGCCTGAAATGCTGCTATGAACCTTGTGCTTGTGAACAGTTTCTCTAACGAAACTTCCCAGTCAAGGTTGTGGCCGCTCTAGGATGACTACATAGTAAAGGGATTGTAGGCTAGAGGCTGCTAAACTGTGAACAGGTGGCTTCTCATATTGTCCTGGCTGTTCCTCCTCCTCTTCACCAAAATCACTTTAGAAATACTGAGAGTACTTCAGGTGCCACTTTTCCATTCAAGCAGTTACCAAAGGCTCATTGTATAATTGTGAATGGAAGGGAAGAACATCTGAGGGTTTGTACATGGAAAGGAGCTTGTCCATTCTTGGTGAATATTTGAGAATTGAGATATGAGAATCCCTGGTCCAGGTGATGAGGCACACAGTGAATGTTAGTTGGTGGCAGAAGCCTTCTATAAGAACTAGCTGGTAACACTTTTAACATGTGTACACTTTTCCAAATCAGGCACTTGAGAATGGCTATGAAGTTACATTCCGAGAACCAGAAACACAATGGAAATTCGATGTTCAGAAGTTGGCAAGGTATACTTTTTCCCTCTTAATGAATCTGATTACTTCTCATTTAGTACCATGTTTCAGCTGCAAAAAAACAGGACTGTAATATGCACTTTCCTCTTCAGATAGACTAAGACAGTGGTCTCTAAACTTTTTTGATCGCGCACCCCTATCAGTAAAAAAATTTTGAGCACGCACCCCCAATATATGTATATTTATATAAATATAAATAGAAGTTCTAATATTTTCTTCCCGCACCCCAGTGGATTGTCTTGCGCACCCCTGGGGTGCGTGCACCCCACTTTGGAGACCACTGGTCTAAGAAGCAGTCCAATAATGAACTATTCAAGAATAGTGGAAGGATAATTTAATATATTCAACATCAGAAGATACTAGCTGCCCTGAAGGGTGTCAGGAAAGAGAAATCAGTTTACATTGTAAGCTCCTATTTGGACTGCAAATTATGGGGGGGGCAGGAGGAGAGTAGGAGGAAGAGGAGGGGTATTTGTGCAATGTTTCCTTCAATGGGCTCATGGTTCATGACTAATGCTATGATCTAGACATTGCAGTAATACATAAAACAAAATAATATCTACAGGTTCTGACATGTAATTTAACTACAACATGGCTTCATATAATTTGGGAAGGCAGGTAGTAGGAGAGCAGCTGTTTTAAAAATCAGCAAAAAAATCAGTTCCCAGAGGATTATTTTTATTGGGTCTCAAATAACACATACAAGAGTGTTGTACCCTTCCCTTCTTTCAGCAGTGCTCCCTTCTTTCCTCCCCCTTTCCCTGTCATTTGTATTTAAATTACCTTATTGCTTTTTCTTTAGTATCTGCATTTTGCAAGTCCATTCATACCATCTGATGAGGTAGGCTATGAACCTACCAAAGCTCATGTCTCTCTGAACCAGTTAGTCTGCCAGGTGCCACACTGCCCTGCCTACATACAGGATGGATACATTAGTCCCCAAAGCATGTATGTTCTACCTTGTTTGATCTCATAAGCACAATATTGTTTACTTTACATGATTTTTAGATTATGATGATTTATTTACATGACTATAATAGCTCAGAACCCTTGTCAAGGACCCATGCGGTTTCCCATTGTGCTAAGTGCTGTACACACAAATACTGAGGAGGACCGTCCTTGCCTCAGAGAGCTTGTAGTTCAAGCATCAGGCAGGACTTGACATGGAGAAAAGAGAAAGATGCTTTGAGGATGGGGAAGAATATGGTAGTAAAATAAAGAGTTTATCAGCAGTATATAAGTCTTGGCTCAACACTCGTCTTACCAGTGCCAAATGGAAGTGATTTGCAGTTATGACAGTAGAAATGGGTCTAGTTGGGAGGAGGTATCAAGTATTAATGCCTTGTAATATTTCTTAACTATCTTATGGTTGGTATTTGTTTTATCAATTAGTGAAGGAGCTGGAGATCTCATAGGCTATCAAGCTTACTAAGTCCAGATTCTGTCTTTAAGATTGGCCTTTTAGGCATGCTTCTCGGGCAGAGACTCCAAACCCAGAGAGCCATGGCTTTTTCTTAGCATGAGCCCCCCACATCCCAGCTGCCCTACCATTCCAAAACTAATGCCGACCACCTGAGTCTCCAGTACATTGGGACGTGCCTTCTCCACAGCTTTGCCATTGTTTACTGTTTCACTTCTTGAGGACTTTGTAACCTTTAAAGCAAAGAACACACAGACTTTACTAACACAAAATACAAGAAATACACTGGTCTATGGCAAAGCACCAAACCCCTGTGTACCAAGACCCTGCCTCAGTTTCCACACCCTGCTTGAGAATCCATTGGAGTCTGTGCATCATTCCTGGAGCCCAGGAACCTTCTGCACCCTTTTTTCTTCTCATCTAAACTTCTCTTCTTCTGTTCCAGACTCACCTCGCTATAGAGAAATATCCCTTCTAACACTTCTGTCTTGCTTACTTATGCTTCGCCTGAGGTCCTTTCAATCTTCAGTGTTTCGTGTTTGTTACAGCAAACCAGTTGTTAAATTAGTAACCTGTAGGAGCCTCCGTTGTCCTGCTGGGGCCCTCGATCTGATCTAGACTGTATGGCTGTGCCTCTTTAGACATGGGCAAAAAACAAACATCCCCCTCCCCCCTGCAAACGCACAGACCTTGACACCTGCATGGGTTGGTCACATACTTGTGGGTCCTTTTGCAGATGGATAGACAATCGCTCCTGAGGGTTCAATAGCTTCTTGTATCCGTGTAACAGAAACCATGATGGCAGTCAGCATACACGCTTCCCATGCTTCTCACAGCAGGAGCCATGGACCTTGTTATACACAATTCACCTAACTTTACATCCTGGCTGCCTACAAAAATATTTAGGTTGTGTGTCATAGTGAAGCAGCCAAAAATAGGTTTGAGAAAACAGATAGCAGCCAACTGCAGTGCAGTCAAGTGTTGGATCCTGGCTCTTAGAGACAAGAATGGATGTTTTACTAAATGGAGCAAGAAGTTTAGCAACATCAAGCCAATGCACTTATTAGAGGGTTAAAAAAATTGAATTTTTATGTTCATTTTGATTATATAGAAGGAACACTCATCAGGTCCCAAGAGAAAAAATACAGCGGATGAAAGAACAGTATGAGCATGGTGTTACCATCGAAACTGTGCTTCAGTCTGAACAACCCAGGAGAGATGTTGGAAATTGTAGTGGACCAAATGCAGCTCTCAGCACTGGGGCTTACTCCAATTCACATCCAGCATTTTCAAACAGAAGAGCATATGACACACATACGAGTCAAAGATCATATAACAGGAGAGGTGGATTCCACAACGTATTTTAGTATTTCACCAATGTATGAAAGACGATTTTGCAGTTCTCCAAGCCATTTTTTACTGAGTTTTGGGGGGTTTTTTCATTTTACTAAATCTTTAAATCAGGTATCGATGCTTTTAATTTACATACTGTAATGCAAGATCATTCAGTTATGGAATCTAAGACTACTGAGCCCACAGTAAACTCTTCCCTTTCCCACTAAACCCATGTTTGTTAGTTTCCCTCATTTTGTCACGTCATATCCCTAGACTGTTAATTCTCCAGGGCAGGTTTGGTGCCTGTAACCTGCCATGTTACTTGTATTGCAACTTGTCTCCCAGACCCACTCTCTCTCCTTTTTCCCTCGTGTCCAGTCTCTCACTAAACCAGCCTCTTCTTTGTCTCTAATACTTTCCAGTTCCAACCTTTCTTCAAAGTTCTTGGGACCAAACCCTTGTTCAGGCTGTGGTCATTTCTAGTCTCCTCACTTTCTTACGCCTGGTCTCCTGGCTTCACCATTCTTCTCTTTCTAGCTTTCCCAAACCTTAGCTAACAGTGTACAGTGCTCTTTGAATCCCTCTACTGGTTTCCTGTCTTACTGCTGTAAAAAGGATCAACATAACCATCTGTCCACCCATGTCTTTTGTTACCTTAATTCAGGCTTTTCTTACGCTTCATTTTACTTTCCACCCTGGCTCCTCCATACACCCAGACAATATCTCTGTCTTTATCTGCCAAGTGCTACCTCTCCTCCTTCAGATCCCATTAACAGGCTGTCCTCCCTTTTCTCATTAATAGTCACTGCCTCACTTCTCTTTTCCTGAACTGATAATCTGTATATCTTGCCTTGTACTGTAAAGTTTTAAGAATAGGGGCATCTTTGTTTTAAAATGTAGTATAAATTAGTGCCATCACATACAATGGTTTATTAATAGTGGAAAAAGAAAAAAATATACACAGTGGAGACCATCACAAGCCATGAGAACTTGAGTGATGCATTAAAGACAACTGAATGAGGCACTTGTCTTTCAACATAAATGCTGACAGGGCAGAGCTTTATTGTGTGCAATGTATGCACTTGGTGCAAAACATCTGTTGGGTATATTTAACCATGCATCTTTGGATACAGGGAGACTAGTGTGGCTAACAACATCTGATCTTTTTGTCTATTGTCCCAGGCAAGAACAGGCCAGAATGTTTCTTAATCAGACTGCTCCATCTTGCTGAACCATAACTCACCCACCCTGAGTGTCAAATGGGCATTAAGCTTGGTCAAACTTTCCATATCATGTGCACTCCTATGAAACCGCTTGCAGAGTACAAGGCACAAAGTGAAAATAAAGACATCATGATGGAAAGCAGACTGGTTACAGCCCATGCCAAATCTTGAAGGTGCTAGATGCTCGTTCCATAGCTCCACACTTCAAACCAACAAAAATATGTTTTATGAGTTTTGCACAAAACGATGAGTTTTTAAGAGAGATTTTATCACAACATGCTGCACCCAGGTAGGTTGGACATACAGATGAGAGCTGCTGATTTTACTGTTATCTTGCCCTTTTCTGCCTCCATATTTGTCTGTTTCACACCTCTTCCATTATCACATCTCTGGACCAGGTCCAAGTCCATTATCTTATTTTTTTTGTACAGATTATTATGTACACGTATATATAAGAAACCATCATAAAGCACACAATAACAATACAGTACTAAAGACAGCAGAGCCAATTGTCTTTCAACTTTAGAAAACCAAATCTAATTCTGTGTTTAAAGTCAAGTACTAACATCCAAGTTTAGATGACAGAAACCGGTATTTTAGGTACTCAGATGTGAATTTGCGACGGAGCTGTAGGTGTTCTACCTTGAAAAAATGTGAAGCGTGAGGGTTAAATAATCGAGTGCTGTCAAGTATCTGATCATATGAAATCTCATTCCTTCCCAGCACACCCAGATGGAAAGTAGGGGTGCACCAATGAGGTTTTTGCGGCCACTACTGATCCGATTTCCAGTATAGTGTGTGGAGTGGTAAGTCCATTGCAGGGGAGCAGATCAACTCCTCCCCCACAGTGAGGGAGGGGGCAGGGGCGCAGGCATGGGTCATTGGGGGGGGGATTCTGCTGCTGCTTGCACCCCAGGAGGGCAGGGGGGGCGTGTGGCCCCAGATCTACCTGGAGCGAGCAGATGGGCTGCAGCTGCAGGCTGTGCTGGGCTCTTCTTGCCAGAGGCTGGGCCTGGAACGGGGACTGCAGCCACCCCAAAATTTTGCCATAGCTACCTCCCAGCACCACCGCTACACACAACGCAACCCTGGCTCAACCTGCATCTCCCCCGCGTGGAGCGCAGGATGGAGGTGCAACTTCCCACTGGCCCCAGCTCTTCCCCCATCTCCCTCCACACGCTGGAAAGAGCCACGCACTGCAGCAGAGGGAGTTGCCCCCACAACCCGATGAGCCACGCCTCTGCCCAACGCCCCACATGGGGGAGGCAGGGCTTGAGGCGGGAAGAGCCGGGGCTGCGCTGAGCACGCCAGTGGCAGCCCTGGGAGGGAGCTACAGCTATATTTGGGGTGGCTTCAGCCCCCTCTACAGGCCCCACTCCAAGCCCAGCCCTCAGCGAGAAGAGCCCGGCCCAGCCCGCAGCTGCAGCTTGCCCCAGGTAGATCCTACCCCCTGCCCTGCTGTGGTGCAAGCAGCAGCAGGAACCCCTCCCTCCCGACAATGAACCATGCCTCCACCCCGCACCCTGCCCTGGCTAGGCAGTGCCTGCCTCTTCAGCCCCTCCCCTGCCATGCCCCTTCCCTCCCACATCCCCTTTCACCACACCAGACTTACCAGCTAGCGGCAGCTCTCCATGCTGCTGGGCTCTGCTCCTCAGTGGCTGCACACATGCCTGGCATTTATTGGCCAAATTATCTGCCCCATCAGACCAATTTCTGATACAGCCAATTTTCTTTATATCGGTACTGATCCGATATCGGACCAGTCTACAGTGCACCTCTAATGGAAAGGTATGTTTCCATACTGTACAAATGGCCTAAGTCAGTCATTCTCTCTGACGTACATGGACTTTAAATAAGAGGATAAGGCCACTTAGTTGAGATCCTTCACAGCCATTGTCACATTGTCCTATCAACGTAACAAAATCATTGCTGCCTTCCAACAACTTAACACAACCAAAGCATAGAAAAATAAGGAATATAAACTACACTGGGATTAACACCTCAGATTTTACCTCTTCTGTCCTGATCGGTTTAAGAGAATCCCTGGGATTCTGGATTCAGCCTCTAAACAACCTACACACATTTCTAACTACTCTCCTGATAGTCCAACAAAGTGAACAAGCGTTCTATGCTAAATAATCCCTTAAGCTCCAGATATAGCCTCACTACTGAAATGTCAGGCCTGCAACAACACCGGCATTACTGTAATGCACAAGCAAATAAATGATCTGTAGAGATAATATATTGCAGTGATTCTTACCAAACTCTTGAAAGTTTTATTGCACATGTAAGATTACATTTATTAAACTTTTCCTTTTGAAATAACATTATTGAAGACAAGCAGATACTATATAAATGTTTCTAGCATGCAAAGTGTAAAAATATTCATTTATATCCAAAATATGTACATTATTATGCACTTGCATTCAATAGTATTTGCGTTTTTTACGCCTTTGTAGCTTTTTTGGGACTGTGAATAAATTCTCAGTTTTACTTGTATCCTTCTCAAGAGCCTCAGTTCCTTCAGTACTGTTTTGTGAAGCATTTGTTCCTGCAGCAGACATTGGAGAATTATCACGTACAAGGTGGTCTGATGAATCCCTGGATGCAGCACTGATGGTTTTTTCTTTGTAATCAGTTTTCTTTTCTTTGGGCAAATTACACAAGAGTGCTTGTGTATTAATCATTGCAAGTTCTTCATCAGCAATCAAGTCAGTCTCAGCGAGAGGGGTAATTTCATTCGATCTTGTAAGAGCGGTGATGTGAAGAGAGTTGTGGTTTGTTCCCTTCAGTAATTTGCTACACTGGAAATCAGAACTTCGTGGTGGCTGAAATGCCTTTTTCAAAGATGGAGAAACAACTGAATAGACTGGTGTCAATGGGGGAGGAGGAGGGATCTGGCTGAGCAGGTCCATAGCTTTTCTCTTTTTGCAGTTCTTAGGGTGGTTTTCATTAGGAGTATGTGGAGTCATCTTTGCTAAGCCTTGTGGAGCAAGTTTCACATCTGGTTTGCTGACCGACAGTGGGCTTTGATACTTCATTTCACTATTTGGAAAGGATGTCTGGATAAGGAAAGAAAGAAATGTATGATTTTTGTGCGTAGACAAGGCCAGAACCCTTCCCATTCATCACAATTAATGCACCAGACTGGCACTCCATGGGGAATGAAATAACTAAGTAGTAAACTCACTAATCAAAAAAAAAAAAAAAATCAAACACCGTATTAAATTAATTACCTCAATTTGTCACACAAATAATATAAAACTGAATGAATAATATTGTGCACCACATGTTTGAGTGAAAGTGACTATCCATCTCAAACTGAAGTTACTACAAAAAATCAATATGCATGTAATTCACAGCATTTTAAGAGAACATTTGGGTCCAGCATACTGTAAATATACAGTAGAAAAAAAATGGTAAGAGTATGAAAAGTAGGTATGAAAAAGGCAGCAAGGGCAGAGTTCTGTATAATCTAATGCAGTGGCTCCCAATCTTTTTGGACTGTAACCCTAATTCAGGGACCATAACTCGAATGCTTGTTGGCTTATGGTCACGTCATATACAACATCCAGCCTGAGTCCAGCTAGGGTCATGCCTCTAGGACCTGCAACCCTGTTTTCCAAGACAGAGTTCTTGGTTCCTAGTTCAGGAAACATTGCTCTATTATACTGTATTTACTTGAATGCAGGATGAGGTTGTCCCCCCCAATTTAACATGGGGGTGGAAAAACCCCCTCATCTTAGATCTGAGTACAAGTAGAGGAGGGGGAAGGCAGCTGTTGTGGCTCTGACTGTAGCTGTGATGCCAACCTTGGGCTGGAGTTAGAGCTACAGCAGCCACCTGGTTCTGCCTCCCTCTCTGCCACCAGTTACCATCCCCAGCACCAGCCCTGCTCTGGCCTGGAGTATAGAACACATTTGGTTCCAGCCCTGGCCTGGCCACACAGTAGTGGTTGTGGTGGCAGCAGGTCTGGCTCTAGAGCTGGGCCACAGTTGCCACCACTGCTGTGTGACAGGTGGGGGCAGGCAGAGGGTAGGAAGCAGGCATGGGGGGTGGGGGCAAGAGTCAAGTGATGTGGAAGGGGGGATGAATTTAAGACGACCCCTTAATAGCTGGATTTTATACATACAATACGATAAACAAATTTATAAATTATCCATATATAGAACCTAATTATTAAGGAGTTGTCTTGTATTCAAAGTCATCTTGGATTAGGGTCAATATGGTACCCTCAATAATAAGCAGTTAGCAAAACCAGAAGGTTTAGGGGAGACCAGCAGCAAGAGGGGAAAAAAAATGTTTTTGAAAACGGAGAGAGATATAATAATCATCAGCAAAATGAAGATAAGGGTCTGAAACACACCTTAAATAAGGAGTGGGCAATTATTTTGGACCGAGGGCCGCTTACCCAGTTTTGGCAAGCTGTCGAGGGCTCCATGGGTAGGCCCGCCCCTTGATAGGTGCCCTGCCCCCTCGTCACCATCTTCGGACCAATGTCCCAATGTCTTGGTCCCATGTCCCAGGGCCAGCACCGGTGGGGCCCAAAGCAGGGCACAGTCTGGCAGGAGTCTGTGGAGCTGGACTGGGCTGCACCCGCAGGGAGAGGGGGGAGCTGGCCCAGCTCCATAGAGCCCCTGCTGTCTGGGACCCTGAGCTCCTGCCACCTTGCTATGGGCCATGCCAGCACTGGCCCTGGGGCAGTGCTGGTCCCGTGTTGCTGCTGGCTCCTGCATCCACTCACACCCAGTGCCCCCAGCCCCATGGTACAGGTTGGGGGTAGCACACAGCCCCAACCCCCTGCTTGCCAGCAGGGAAGAAGCTGGTACTCAGCTTGGGGAAAAGGGGCCCCTTGCCCGCCCTCCCTGCTGCAGGCACTTGCAGGCCACGCAGGGCTGTCTGGAGCAGGCACAGGCAGCCCCATGCGGGCTGCAAGTGGCTACAGCGCAGGGCGCTGGCCATGGGGCAGGCGAGGGGCTGCCTGTGTTTGCTCCAGATTTCTGTTGAGCACGTGCTCTAGAATGAAAGTTTCCAATGCAGAAAAATACTCTTTATGTGAAAGTTTAAAAGTGTTATTCAACTCAAACCATACACAGCACATTCTTCCCTTCCAACTATTTATGAGAACAATACTGTGAAG